ATGTGATAGTTCTGTAATAACAAACTAATAAAAATCTAATCGGCCAAGGAAGTGGCCTTAATAACAAAAAAAAAAAACTTTTCATATAGCAAGCAACTGATATAAGCTTAGAACAAGAATCTTACATCAAAGTAATGGAAAAAACTACTGCAATAATTAATGAATTAAAAAATATGAAAGCAAAGGTTTCTGTGATCATTACTGATAGTGCTAGTTCATATGCAGTATTCAGATTTTTTTCTATATTTTATACCATATAGATACTATGTATTACTATATTTAGGTTTCTGTATAGGAATGTTTTTTTTAATTTAATTTATTATTTTTACTTTATATTAGAAGAAGATTAAGGTTAATTCATAGAGATATTGTCTTTTTACCATGTTATGTCCACTAACTAAACTTGTGCATCAGTGAAGTTTTCAAAGAATCTACTGACTTAAAAACTATGATGGACTAAGCAATTCAGTTGGCTATATATTTTCAGAATGCAAACAATAAGTATTTTATCGCGAAACCATATGATCAACAAAAAATGACTAATAATAAGTATTATAGTATAGTTGCACTAGAAGAAACTCGGTGAAATAGTTATTATTTAGTAATAACTAGTTTTTTGCAAACTAAACAAGCACTTCAGATATATAAATTAAAGGAAGGATATCAAATTATGGATAAATCTAATTGTAACAACTTGTTACGCATCTTATTATAAAATCTCTGAGACAGTTTTTTAAAAAAAATTCAAAAAATTTCTAAAAAAAATCATATGAAATTTTTTATAATTTAAAATAAAAAGCCAGATTACTTTTAAAATTTTATGTAATGAAAACTAAGAAATTAACTTCGTGTAACCTAATATAAATTAAAAAAAATTTATAATATATTAGTCGTTATATTACAGGTTGTTACAAATATATTTATTCTTAAATTATAGCTTATTTTTTTTTTTTTTTATTTTTCAGATTCTTGCGATTAACTATTAATTACCCTATTCTTAAAGTCGACAAAGAACTGGTGAAAATCCTGTAATTCATCGAGACATTTTTGAAATTATAGACTCGGATTTATTTTGGTCAAACTTAACGACAATTATAGAAATCCTATATCCTTATTGTAAAATATTGAATATTTTACAATGTGACAATTCAAGATTAGTTCATATTATATACGATCTTGTATATTTAGTTCAATTTTGAAATCAACATACTAACTTTTGTCTTTCTAAAAAGATTTTAACTAGGTTAGATAAAAGATGGAACAACTGGGAACAACCTCTTTTAATTTTAGCGTGTTTATTACATCCTATGTATCGATTAATATATTTTAAAGATAGATCAGTTATTAATTATTCAAAACTAGGAAAATATCTTATTTATTATTACAAAGCTTGGACAGGTAAAGAGCCCAAATTCATTTTAAAAGAATTAATGAATTTTTCTATAGGAGGTTATCCATTTGACAATGATACTTACACCCAATTTGAAGATATTTTGAGATATTTGAATTTTGTGGTGACTTCAACTAATGAATTAGGACTAGTGGCTTGCAGGCTATATAGAATCTATATTAACACTACTACGTTAGAGCACCTCTGGAGCAGTATGAGCTTTCTGCAAACTGATAGAAGAAATTGGCTAAGTGTAATTAATTAATTAATTATTTATTCCTATTCTTTGACTCTGAATAAGTCAATAGACTCGTTCATTATATGAAAACATCCATAAAATTAATTATACATCAGATGTCTTGGGTATAAGCGGAAATTTTATATATACAAAGAACCCAGTGTAATAACTGATTTATACTCTATTATTGGTAGTGAACAGAGTATAAAATTTAATAAATTAATTCTCAACCTTGCTAGGTCAAATTTAACAAATTTTTTTAAAAAAAATTTGATTTTTTTTTTTTAATTCAGCAGTCATGCCATAACTTTATTTAGATTTGTTTTCTAATTGAAAACAGCATTAATTAGCTATATACTATCTAATGTCTAATTTTTTAAGCCTTGACTCATCTAGTTATCCTGAGGATACCTATGTGTGATCTGCCATAGTGACTTTTGTCCTATGCTAATATAACTTATAACATATATAAATTATATATAGCTAATAAGAAGGATGCCACAGCCCATCATGACTAACTTAAAAACCAACTTGCTACTACTCCCTCCTTTACTTCTCTGGCTATACTATCTAACACTATTTTAAGACTAATATTAAAATTTTCTATGTTCTCGTCTACTCTACCACTTGCTTTTCTTGTTGTAGCTTCCTTCTTGGATCATTTTTTCCTTTTTTCTATCTGTGTAAATTTTTCTTTCCTAGAGATGTTTTCTTTTTTCTCCCATGCTTTTGTGTCTTTGCATCATTTTTTCCAAATTTCTTTGTATACCAATTCTATCCAGATATGCTAGAAAAGGCTTCAGAATCTCTTTGTCATTCTTTTTGAGCCTAGTAGTGTCTAGATTTTTTTCGCATCTTCTTTGTGTAAGATTCTTCTTATCCATTCTTTTCTTTTTTCTGACTTCTTTTCATGTTCTTGTTGAAAGATATTTTTCAGATCTTCTAAGTTCTAGTTTTCATCTTTCCTTTTATCTTCCTGCAGTCATTCCTATACTTCTTTTTCGATTTTTTCTAGTGCCTGATATGCTTTTTTACATGTAATTAGGTGGTCTATTGTTTTATTTTCTTTACTATACCTTTTGCATAAGCTGTTTTTGTATAGGTATAGCTTTCTACTATTTAGAACTTTAACTGTTGGAAGGAGGTTTTCGAT